CCCCTGGACTGGGAGCTGTTTGTTGTTTTTACTTAAGAGTGGCCAACTTTCTGTTATTCTTATATTAATTTGATACAGTAAGGGCTTCAACATTTCCCATATCTGTGTCCTCTGTCACTTTTTTCAGCAGCTAAAATTGTTTAATTTGTAGTTAACATGTCGTAAAAAAATTTTCCGAGCCGCCTTTAAACGCAACATCAGCGCTAAGACGCTGGGTTTACACCTGTGTGGCAGCGACGGAGACCTGCTGCTGCTGCCTGGCAGAGCTACGCAGGTGTGTTAGAATCATGGCAGCAAACCAGCAAAACGCAAAGAACTTTGCAGATTTCCCATAAAAATAACCAACACAGTTGAGTAATGCTGTTTGATGTAAACATACTTGTTGACAAGTAGCCTATAGGCTACTGGTGTTGTTGTCTATGTTCAGCTATGTAGATTGATTTTGCCCTCCCACCCCCAAAATAAGCCAATGCCCCCCCGTTAAACTCGTCTTGAGCCGGAACTGATCACACCCAATCAGCACCTTGGTCTCACAGCATGAATCTGAGCGTTTGCTAGTTGGCCCAAGTCCATCACAAATTTGTCGATATGCCAGGTATCTGCCAACTCCAAACAGCAGAAATCCTGTTATCGTGAATCCAAATAAATTCAGGGTGAATCCATTCCATGGGCTATGTCCTTGCAGGACAAGTGAGCTGTCCTGTGCCCATGACAGCTCACTTGAGAAAGTTTGATTAATTGCATTGAGAGACCAGTTGACCTGATCCATAATTTGTAGATCTGCAAAGAGAAGCTCCAAAAAGTAGCACAGAAATAGAGGAAGCCGTGCAAAGGTGGGGAAGGATGAAGCAAAGCTGGGATGAGCAGGAATTTGTCACAAAAATGTAGCTTAAATAAAGCTGGGAGAATGACAGATGTTTTGATATATAAGATATATTTTCTCCCTTCATATAAATCCATAAACAGTTTGATTTCTGTCAGTTCTGTCAAGACGCAAGAAAGGAGCAAAGCAAATTTCTCTTTTATGTTGCTCAATAAATTTAATTGTCGCTGTAAAAGTTAGTTTGTTCTTCTTTTCCTTTTGGCTTTTTCCCTTTAGGGGTCGCCACAGAGAGTCATCCATCTCCAGGTAACCCTATCTTCAGATCTTCTCTCACACCAACTACCTTCATGTCCTCTTTCACTCCATCCATAAATCTCTTTGGTTTTCCTCTAGGTCTTTTTCCTGACAGGTCTACCCTCTGCATCCTTCTACCGATGTATTCAGTGTCTCTCCTCTGTACATGTCCAAACCATCTCAGTGTGGTTTCTCTGACTTTATCTCGTACACATCTGACATAAGCTGTTCCTCTGATATATTAATTTCTGATTTTATCCATCCTTGCCACTCCCAAAGATAACCTCAACATCTTTATCTCTGGTACCTGGTGAACGTTTGGCTAACCTTCATTCATCTCCTTTCCAGGGAGAAAAAAA